AATGGGGTGTCTGGCCTCAGGAGAAATCAGCCAATTAGGTCTCAGGGCCAGCATCCTCTGTTTATTTGTACTATAGCCAAGGAGGCTGTTTTCATGTGCATTTGTTTGTCTGTTGTCTAGCAACATTATGCAAAATCTACTGGACAGATTACTATGATACTTAGTGGAGGAATGTGAGTCAGGGAAGAACCCTTTCAAATGTGATTTTTCACTTTCCTTGACATTGAGAGTTTTGTGGCGTTTGTGATCTCAATGATGAAAATCTGGCACATTTGAGGGGATTGATATTAATGATGATGTGTAAATTGGTACAGCTGGGTTGAATTCTAGGGGACTGTTGGGCCTTGAGGTTGTATGAGCTCTACTTAGTCCCATTCTTTTTTTAATTTGATGTAAGGAAGCTTTAGGAATATTGTTCAGTCTTTCTGCTTGCACACCAGGCTTCAGACTTTCTGTGATGTTAGAGGGTAAGATATGTGGAATATCCTCTGGAAAGTACTGGCATCTTAAAAAGATCAATGTTACAATTGAAGAATATTCATTGTTAAAATCTAAGAATTGGATTTAAGTAAAATCCCAATCCCAAATTCACAAGCTGATTCTTCTCATTAGACAATACTCTTGTTCAGGTTAAAAATAAATAGAAAGGTCAGGATCAAGCAGAGATATAACCTTCATACACACGTTTATCTTTGAATAATTCAATATAATAGAATATTAATAGAATATCATAGAGGAGAAGTATGCTCTGTATAACACTGATCAGTTGTCATATCAATATTTAATCCAAACACCAGTGAAAAGTCTTATTTCAGGTACAAGCACATTTAAATTCATTAGCTCCAGATCTTATTTGGATCTGTACTTTCATCAAGATCCATGAATCATTCTCTGAGAAATCAACTAAAAATGTTCAAAAACTTCCAATCCCACAATGTTTTAGGAAAATCCTTCTCATGGAGAGTCACCATGCAGCACAGTGCCCTAACACACTGCCTGGTGGTGTTAGGAATGCTCCACCCACTGCAGTCTTTTAAACCAGATTGGAAACGTTTATTCACAAATGCCTTTAACTAAACAATTTTACAAGCTCTGTTTAAATTGTTTTATTTCAGACCTTTTTAATCTAGTTTTTGTTTTATTTTTCTATTTTTGTAATTTTCCTTTTCTTTGTTCGGTTTATTAGTGGGTGGCAACCAACATCAAGGTGCATTACCACCATCCATTGTGTGTTTCAATATCCTCCTTCCTCTTCTTCTTCCCCATTTGATATTGTATCTCTGATTACACTTGATATGGCTTCTCCTTCTTCTTTGTTTGGTCTAGTAGCGGATGGCAACCTACTGTGTCGTAGTGTCAATCAGAGTCAATCCAGGCCATATTAAATTCTTTTGTGCACTCCTGTCCCCCTCAGGTAATAGATCATACTTCCTATTCCAGTGGTAAATACTATTTCCAAGCTCAGCTCTTCCACTCCATGCTTTGCAATTTCCCTATTCAGCTTTTCTCTTCCTCTAACATACTCATTGCAATGAAGCATTACATTATACACTATTTGGCAGTAATCACATAATCCTGTTGGATGTCTGTTTATTAAGTGCAGTGTATTATTGAGTCTAATGTGTCCTATCCTCAGCCTACACAAGATGTTCTCCTCCTTGTGCTCCTTTTTGCTGTCCTCACTGTGCTCACCTCTTTTCATTCTCTCTGTGTGGTGTTTAATGTCCCGTACTGCATGACTAACTGTTTATAAATTGTGCTTTATACATAAAACTGTCTCGCCTCATACCAACATTGAATTAATTTCCCCCTGAACCATACCATAAATCTATATATCATGATTATTCATCGATTGTTTTTCATAATTAAACAAACCAACAAACAGGTTTAAAACACATTGGGGGAGAATCATTTAAAAGACGTATTCTTATTTATAATCTAGACGTCTAACGTACTTTCCTTAATTTCCCTCCGGGGATGAATAAAGTACTCTATCTATCACTACACAATCAAGTCATCAAGTGATGTCTTTCTTTTACATGTATGCACATATTTGTATACATATACGTGTGTAAGCGTTGCACTGTTATTTTTTGTTTAGACTACATTCAAAAGTTCAGTCACTTTGAAATACAGTGTCCCTCTATTCTCTCTCCAGTCATAAGGCAAACATCAACTTATGATAGGAAATCACACTGTAAATGTTTTAGATGCAGTTGGAAAGTACCATCTTGTGAGTCTCTGTTTGCTTTCTTGTAACACAAAAACACTGAATACATTTTTTCAAACTCAAACTTTAAAGAGCCTTGTCTTACACAACACATTGCTGTATCATTAAGGTGTAAACTGCTCCCTGATCAATGCAGATAGTGATAACTGAATTTGACTTGTAGGCTGAGGATGGAATAAAAAGCCACATGAACAAGAGCAGATAACAGCTGAAGAGAGGAAACTAGACAGACACCTTTTACTTTTTTACCCTCACTTCCTGTCGGACATGCAACAATTTTGCTTTTGTGCGTCCTTTCTCTGCTGTGGTTTCTGTAAACCCGCCTTTGGACTGTTCTCAGTATGTAGCTTCGAGAATTGGAGTGGAAACTGAAACCTGCGTCTCTGAACAAGAAGAGAGCTGCACAGTTTGCAGAGCAGGAGGCCAAGAGGTGGTGAGCACAATCCTCTGGTTAAGGATCCAGTTTAGGATTCAAAAAGTTATTATTCCTCTTAGTATTTAAGAGTTAGAAAGTATGTGATGAACTGTGATCGATTGATCGATTTCTATTACTCCAGGTTTCCTCCTCATTACATTGTGTGGGGGGGCTCTCTACATTCTCATATCTGAGACAAGGTTCATTACACTTGGATGACATCAGCGTCTTTGGCCGGACTTTTCATGAGCATTTGTCACGGTTGGATGAGGTGATAGTTACACCAGGCAAATCTCAAAGTAAAACCAGCTAAATGTAATTTATATTCTACCCAGGTGCAGTACATGTAATCTCAGCCAGAGGTGTAAAGCTGACGCCACAAAGGTAGAAGCAGTGCGACAGTGGCCAGTGCCAAAGAACCAGAGGAAGTAAAGAGTTTTGTTGGTCTCGCATCATATTATAGGAGGTTTGTAACAGCAAACATTCACAGCATTCCTGTCAGCAGTCTAACCCACCCCGAAGGAAGGCGAGGCGGTGGAATGTTCAGTTGCTCAGACAATATGTGCTGTACAGCCCAGAGGTTCTGCAGTGCCCCCAGGTCAAGAGGACAGGGATGAGTTGGCGCAGGCTCAGATCCTGAGATGCAACAAGTTATTGATCTCAAGGAGGGAGAGGATGAGGGTTTACAGCCTCTTATGAGCTGCAGAGGTTTGCACCAGTGTGGGCTCAGTTGCAGGTACACAGTACCAGGTTGGTGAGGCTACCACCTGTAAATTCTGATGTAGAGAAACAGGTTCAGGTTGTTCTACCAAAATCCTAAGTGCCAAAGGTTGCACAATTCAGTTACTGCTGGCCACTTGGGGGTACAGAAGGTGCAAGCCACAGTGAAGGACTGTTTCTACTGGATGGGATGGTTTGGGGATGTGAAGCATTGGTGTTGGGAGGGTGTGGATTGTGGTTCCTGAAAGACAACCACGAGGCTGTACAAGCGGGTGGCAATAGACATCTTAGGGCCACTGCCTGAAACCCCCCATCGAAACAAGTACATTTTGGTTATTGGAGATTATTTATAAGAGGACCGAGGCCTTTCCCCTCCCCAACCAGGAAGCGCAGACAGTGGCCAAGGTTTTGGAAGAGCAGTGGGTCTCCCGACTCATTCACACCGATCAAGGGCGAAATTTAGATTCACAAGAGCCGTACGTTGCCTTACCACCTCCAGTCTGATGGTATGGTGGAAAGGATAACAGGACATTGTTGTCTATGCTGTCCTTGTTTGTGGAGGAGAACCAGGCTAACTGGGACGTGCTGTTGCCGGATGTGATGTTGGCATACAGAAGCAGTGTGCATTCCAGCACAGGGTTTCCACCCTGGAAGGTGGTGTTTGGGCAGGAAATAGTTTTCCCGGTGGACGTTGCCCTGGAGCTGGGTGGTGAGGAGAGGTTCTCCGCTGCTACGGAGTATGTGTCTAGTTTGGCGGCTGTAAGTCTGTAAGTCAGCCTGTCACTTTGACATACAATGTCCCTCTATTCTCTCTCACCAAGTGAAATTCAAAAAGACCCAAAAGCAGCAGAGCCACCCCTGCTGGACGAACTGTCACGTGATACCTGAGATACCTGCGGCAGGGACCTCAGGGGGCAGCGGTGGAAAATGGTGAGGGTGCGGAGGAGGGGCAGTCGGACACAGTTTAGCTTCCTGACACTCGAGAACAAAGCCTGTCAGTGTTGTAATCCTCTGATTAAAGACACACAAAGGAGGACACACCTAGTCACTGACAGACACACACCTGAGATAGTAACACACACTGGTGACCCCCCGAGGTCACAGCCAGAGGGAATACCACACACACACATTTATAAATATATAGATAAACAAATAATATAAAAGGTAAATCTTAAAATAATTAATGGTACAGTGTGTAGAATTTTGTGATATCTAGTGTTGAAATTGCATGTTGCAGCTGAACACCCCTCACCTCACCCTCCCCTTCCAAACATGAAAAAAAAACTGGGGTAGCCTTTAATTGTCATAAAAACTCAAAAGGTGTTTAGTTTGTTCAGTCTGGACTAAAACATGGTGGCCTCCGTAGAGAGGGTCCCCTCAATGTAAATATAAAGTATTTAGATATAAAGGACCTTTTCTGGAGTAAAGAAAACTACAATTCATACAATTTAGATGAAATGAACTAGTGAAAACATCATGAGGATTATTCTACATTACATTTCTGCCAATAGATCCCTTTCACCTAAATCTTACACACTGGACCTTTAAGTTGATGAAAGGCGAGAGCACAGAGGTCGTCAATATTCAATATATCGAATAACAGAAATAATCCATGGTTGTTTTTAACCAATTTTATTCTCTGATTCATTAATATCATTCTTATATCAGTCATTCATTTACAGCACTAAGGACTCACTGACTGAACAAACTGAATCAGCTGATCCTTTCACTCCCCCCACAGCACCTCAGTAACATCACTCTCCAGAAAATAGAATTATAATTTACTCTCTAAAATAATAACAGTAATATTACACTTGGAACAATCAAATGTACAACGATAACTCTTGTGTATTTATCATCAAACATTAAAAAATAAAAAAAGCTATATTCATCTGGATGTATTTAACGTGACTGTGTGACAGGGCAAAGACACAACACAGTCACTGAGGCTGCGTTCACACACAACACAAAATCAGATTCATGAATTTGCACCGTGAGTGGAGAAGATTTCCTAGAGTTAAAATAGAAATGTTCGACAGCAGCTGCAGTTTATATGAAACTGACCGGTTTCTGCTCTTATGTGTGACAGTCAGCTCTTCCAAACAGATTGTGATCATTAAAAACATTTATTACTATGGAAATTGAATCAACTCTCCAGCAATAGATTTTGTTTTTCAATAGACATTTTGAGAAATCGGTCTAGTTTCTCTGTTGACTAAATATGACGCTAGGAGCTTATTGGTTTAGCTTTAATTTCCTGACATCCGTCTACCATCATCTCTAAAGTTCAAGCATGTAAGCACGAGCATGTTTTCCTCTATAATTCAGCCAAAAGTGAAGAGGCAGACGGAGAAAATGTGGCAAGAGACAAGTAGGACATCGCACAATCTGTATGTTGTTGTTTAAATGTTGCTGTACAGATTACACAACATAGGACATGTTAATTAGTGAGCTGTAGAGATACTGCTAAGCCTTTATGCTAAGATAGGCTAATAACAGCTGGCTCTAGCTTCATATTTACTGCAGTCATATATTTCTATTTTATGATCTCGTATACGTCTACTCTTTCAATTTCAGTGATTACCATCGGTAAACTGAATGACACTAATGTTAATACAGTTTAATCGAGCAACATTTTTGTACAGTTTCCTAGATCTTCTCTCAGTGCGTGTGAAAGGATCCTGAAATTGTGTGTGTGTGTGTTTGTTTTGGTACTTAATAACATGTAAACAAAATGTAAACTTTAAGGTTTGTCAATGCTAACAGTGTCACAGTAATGAATTGAATTGAATCTTATTAACATCCGTGAACAGGACAAAAAAACAAACACACACACAGAATACGCACGGGCGTCATGTTGCCGCACATACACAAACATGGGTGCACATGCACAGACACAAACAGGCACACAAAAAGTGCAGACTGACACAAACGAGCAATGTATCGGCACAGACTTACGCACGCACACAGTTAAGAGTCACAGCCACAGCAAGGCATTGTGGGAAGGTAGGGAGGAAGCATTTATGAATGTTCTTATGTATTATTTGCATTTGTGTGTGTGTGTGTGTGTGTGTTTCTCATAGAGCTCTGGGTATGATGGTGAAGGGCAGAATGGGGCTGCTGGCCTCCAGCTCCAAGGCGGTGAGGAAACACTCAGTGGCAGCAGCAGCGTTTCCCTGAGCCTGCAACACCTCACCCAGACTGTTCCACACATCATGAGCCGTACTGAGGAGAGGAGAGYGGGGGGGGGGGTGAGAAAGTGGAAGCAGGAAGAAGGGATAAAAGTAGAGGAAAGGTAAAGAGAAGAAAAGAGCAAATTAAATAATGTTACTGCCACAAAATGTTACAATGACTACTTCACATTATACTGGCGTGCACACACGTGCACACAAACATACCTGTTGACCTGCACAGCGTCCCTAAGGACTTTCTCAGACAGACTGTAGCGCTGCAGCTGTTGGAGAATCAGACCCTGTGGAGAGGTAGAGACACGCAGACAATGAGTAACAAAAGAGAGGGAGAGGAAAATAAAGAGAGAGAGGAAGAATACAAAAATGCCAAGTGGTGGCTGTTTGTACCATGAAGACGAAAAAATTATTATTCAATCATTTTCTTTAGGGAAAGCGGCGCTCAGTACTGATGCAGACTGGTTGTGGACGGTCGATGCAGCTTCTGTGTGAATGTGTTAAAGGGATAGTTCACAGAAAAATGAAAAGTACCTCATTATCTACTCACCACTATAACAACAGAGGGGTGAGTGTGAGAAGCGTTTGAGTTCAGCAAACACTTTTGGAGTCTCAGGGGTAAACAGCGTTGCAGCCAAATCCAATACAATTGTCTCTGATATCCTCCCCTGGAGCCACGTTCATGTTCGCACACAGACACACCGCACACAAGCTCTCGCCCAAGGGCACAGGCGGGGAGCTCGTTAGCATCGCTACATCCAGACTTTGAGACATAAAACATGGTGTGAATGATGCCATCTGAGTTGAGTTTGAATGTCGGAGCTTACGGACACTTGGATGACACCACACGAGCAGTGTGGAGGCATGTTGTGTTTTTTTCCCTCTGAAGAAGTCACCAGTTACTTCAATTGCATTGGATTTGACTGCTACACTTTTTACCCCTGAGACTCCAGAAGAGTTAAGTGGACTCAAGCACTTCACCCGCCCCTCCATCGGCAGAGTGGTGAGTAGATAATGAGTGAATTTTTACCTTTTTTGGTGAAATATCCCTTTAAGTTGTGCATTTTACATAATACAACTGCTTACATGAGTAGAAGACGAGCTATTATTCGAGCCTTCAGCGGAATTCAGCAACTAACGACCAAATGCTTCCTGTTTACATCGGCACATTCCCAGTGTAGGTCAGTGGTCACGTAAGCATTTTCAGTGTCAGTATGGACAGGGATTAAAAAACGCTTATAAGGACATGTTAGATGCTGTTTTCCAACTAAAACCTTTTAATATGGATGTAGCCAGAGAGAGGACATAAGAAGGAGGCCTTGTTTTCTCTCTTCACATCAGGTCTGGAAGGACTCTCCCACGAGATTGTGGCTATTTACATAAAACACACAAACCCTCAGGCTGCCCGACACAGCAGACAGACAGGACAGAATTTGTTATGAGAGACCGAACACAGGACAGAGCGGAAGGAGAACATCAGAGTCTGAGTGTGTGTGTGTGTGTGTATTACCAGTCTCTGCATGGTCTTGACATGTGTCGGGTTGATGGACAGGGCCTCCTCATACCAGCGTTTTGCCTCGTCTATGTTGCCCCTCAGCTCGGCTATCTGCCCCCTCGTGTACAGCACATTATGGGATGTGGGGAAGAGGTTGGACGCTTCCTGGGTGCAAGCTGACGCCTCGGCAGGTTTCGACATACTGATGTACACTTCAGCTGTTAGAAAAAACAAAGACAGCGAGGGAGACATTGGACACAAGTGTTTAACTCTGAGTTTAGATTAACAAACTAAATCAATGCAGCAAGTCTCATGTAGTGTTGTTAAATGGGTTTCAAACTTTTCTGTTTCAGTTTGATACAACTGCTGTGACAAAGTAAGAATGTAAAACAAAAATTAGAAATATAACTGGAAGAGTGGAATAGACGGCTTTCCCTTTATACTGACGTGACACAGTACAAAGAGGACGCTGCCACAAAACAAGTTCAACATTTCTAAACCTGTCAAACTAAGCTGCAGTGGCACAATTACACATTTAACAACAGCTCCATAAATCTGCAGCCTTGGAGTGTAAATTAAATGTTTTATGAGCCATAAGCTGGAGGCAACTAAGTAATTATTAACGTGCAGTATCAAGGTAATTCAATGCATTAGCTTTGTATTGCTGTGGTGAAGACACAAAGTTCCAAACAGTGAGTGAGAGAGGCAGAGGAAATGACTTTGAACTGCGCCTGTCCTGTGCTGCGATCGGAAGATTACATTAGCTGTGTCGCCAGGCTGGAAATGACCACCTCTGCCAGGAAGCAGCTACAGAGATAACCAGGAGCAACAAAACAACCTCTGTCTACATGTGTGTGCACGTTGCCTGCATCTGTTTATGAGCACTCTGCGTGTCTGCAACTGCTGAACTGTAGGGAAAATGGAATTCTTATTTGTTGTGATTGCAGATAGTCCTTTGAAATACTGTTAAATACAATCCAGCAGGCTGATGCCAGAACACTCAAGTAAACAGCAAGCCCAGCTAAATACTTTTTGACACTGTGTAATGAAAATATATTTATGTATTCTAAATGTAAACCACTTTCTTCTACCTAAATGGTGAGAAATATATTCACTAACTTTTTTCTGTTGACTGACTCGTCCACACAGAGACGTGCTTTAAGACATTTTTAGGTTCACAGCAGACACATGCTACACAAGCCTTCACAGGAGAGTTTTTATGTGTTTCAGATGTAGGTCAACGGATTATAGATACTGGATTGAACTCACAGAAACTATTAGGGCACATACTGAACCTTAAGGTAATTTTATAGCACATATTTTTTTGGTTATGTTTTAAATGTGGGAGCAATGGTACATGGGCAAATACATTTTCCAGGTTTCCCTGAGAACGATTATTGATCTTGATGAAAAACATTTAGAGGACTGATATTTTTCACTGTGTGTAATTTGATGCAGAGTCAAATAAAATGTAGGGCCAAGTGAATTTAATTGTGGTTCCATAAGGGTACTGTTGGGCCTTGGTGGAGGTATGCACTCTTGTCATTCTATTTTTTAAATTAACTTTTGTGGTGGACATTTGTCAATAAATGGGTCGAAGAATGTTTCTTTGGAGTTTTATTGAAGCTTTCTGCAGGAAGGATCTCACAGGCAAGGTGGCTGTGAGATGAAAAAAGTGAAGTGTCTGTGCTCTTATGTAAGTGTTTGTGTCTGTGTGTGTGAATGTATTGTTCTGTGTCTGGAACATATAGTCTGTAAAGGTGTGACTTATAGGTTGCATCTTAAAATGTGTTGGAGAGGAAATAGAGTTTTGTGCTTGTCAGTCAGCTGAGTTCCTCGAACAAAGGATAAACAGAATTCAACCAGAGTCAGCTAAAGTCACTAAATAGTTCAGGTGACCTCAGGATCAACTTCTGCAAGACATAAATAGACAATGGGCTCACATGCTAGTCAGTGGGTGTACATGCTATATGCAAAAAGTGTATGTGGAGCTGTACCTTAGAGGGAAATGTCTGCTGTAAGCATAAACTAAGAAGTTATTAACAACATTTCCAGTACACTTTTCACAATAGTTAGTTAGCTCCAGACAAAATCAATTATGGTGCTCTGACACATGTTTTGCAAACAATTTAGATCATTAGTGACTTGTCTCAAGCGGTACAGTCAATAATACCATCAGTCAATTAGAGCCACATTTCACTTCTTGTCCTTTGTGCTGTCACTCTTGGTGTTAGCTTTCTCTTCTGATTTATAAAAAATAACTGTCAAACTTAGACCTTGATCTCATCTTACATGGTGCTGTGAATAAAGATCTGGATCTATTGAATTCAAATGTGGTTTCATGAGGGGACTGTAGGTTCCTGTAGTCTACCTTCAACATTAACTTAGTTTTGCTCTCTCTGTAAATCCTGTTTAAGTGCTAATATAATTTTTATGTGCATACCTGCATGCAGCCAGATCTGAGCCAGGGTCATCCAGGGGTGGAGCGGTCCATGTTTGGGGGCGCTGCTCTGCAGGGAGGAGGCCACCTCAGACAGAGCCTGCTCTACACGACTGGCTGCAATGGAAGTAGCGTGCACCGAACCTGGAGGGAAAGAGTCCGTTACCGAACAACATACGTGCCATCTCCTGCAAGTACTGACTAACTGCTATGGCAGTGTGAGGATAGCCATGTGCCACAGTTCAGGGTTTGAAATCAGCTAATCACAACAGCAGATTACACAGATTTCCACAATTTCAAAAATAAGGATTTATAGGAGAAATCTGTGTTTGTTGGTTTGCAGTCAAAAGCTGAAGACTCCACATTGGCACACAGTTTCCTGTGCCTGCACTACAGTCTTAAATCAGTCCACACCATTCCACACGTTACAACACACAGTGTTATGGCCCTGGATCAACCAGGTTAGAGTGAATTAATATCCGCACCACCATGCATGAACACTGCATCACTCTGCTGATTAGTAGTCGAAAGAAGAGACTGGTATTTTTGCTTCTACGTTCGAGTTGCATTAGATTGTTTCAGGGATGCAAAATGGCCTCCGCATTGGACTGCAGATGTACACTGCAGATCTGTGAAAGCAAAACATGATTTCTGGGTTGTAAACTCTATAATGTGTTCCACATATTTATATATTTATAAATGTCAAAAGTTACATAATGCCTATACCTGAATATCATAATATTCATAGGAACCAACCCTGCAGCAAAGTTCACTCTGGTGCATTAACAGCACAGATGATCATTTCACAATGTATAGCTGCCTCCATGACACTTGTGTAGTTAGCAATACTGTCACAATATGAAGAGTGTTTTAAACATGCTCATCATTCAGACCCTGTTCAGACATGATATTAACATCCATCCTAAGTGATCACACGTGGTCAGCGCTAAGTTCAGGTCTGAATGCACCCAAATGCCTCCGAAATATATCCTGAGTTTCGATAACTCAGATCAGATTCGAAGGTGGTCTTGAACGCATTTGGCTACTATGTCCTCTGACCCGCTAGTTTCATAAAGAATAAAATGCTTTTTTTAATCTCCTCGGTGTCCACGATGATCATGAACATGATGATTGCATTCATTTATTCAGTCCCTTCTGACTCTGCTCGCTCTTACTCTCCCTCGATCACTAGAGCCAACACACGGACACACACACGAACACAAGATCTGTAAACTGAGACTGGCTAAAAACAACATCATTTGGTTTTCTCGGTCACAAATGACGCACGTGATTTTTTGCAGAGCGGGAAAGTGAGATCTGATCACAAGTGGTCCCAGGAGACACATTAAGGGTGCATTCTAAACCAGATGTGAGACCACTTCAAATTGCTGGACGCTTCAAAGATAGATTTGCGATGGATTATCTCTTTAAAGATGTTAGTTAGCGTTCCACATTTTCATGGAACTATAACGCTGATTTAGAAGCTAGATTTTCGAAACTTGAAAGTTTGCAGATTTCAGATATCAAGACTGAATCTTGATACTGCTTCTAAAAGTTCTGCTGACTTGATCCATGATGATCATTGTGTGATGTTGATCAGTTTGTGAACTATGTTTAATGTTTTGACTTCATAAAACTTTTTTTTTTCCCTCAATGAAGTCAGATTTCTTTCCTTGTTTAAGTTGTTGCACTGATTTGTTGGTAGCTTTGTTTTGTTCCATTGAACTGTTGCGTCAATTACAGCCTACAGAGAATAGATAATATGAAGATTTGCCTTTTTAGCCTGAAACATGGACTAAATGAAAGGTGACTGCTGGTCAAAGAGGGCTGGAATAAAAGCTTTAATCTGATTTCCTTTTCCCGTTCTCTTATTCTGGTTTCATATTGTCCGTCGTGTTTCTCCATTCACTGCATCAATATGGACGGTGTGTGTTCAGGGAAAGAAACTACCAACGTGTAAAAGATGAAGGAGATAAGAATAAAAATAGAAGATTTGAACATTTAAGCCCTGTGTGTGTGTGTGTGTGTGTGTGTGTGTGTGTGTGTGTGTGTGTGTGCCTCAAGAGAGGACAAGTCTTTTGCTGATAAGAGGATTTAGGAAAACGACAATACAATGAGTATCCTGAGTTTAGATAGACTACAAGAAACAATGATTAGATGGCAGCAGCCAGCCTAATACATCCTGTTTACAGACTTGCATTTAAACAGGATAACAGACATTGTTCCCTAAATTAACATCATATTGATAGATATTAAAAAAAGAATTTGCAAAGTGAAATTCTCAGCCAGTTTACCCAAAGGCTGATAAAAGCTCAAATCTAATATTACAAGGGTTTTCAATTTTCTCTCCATTTGTTCCCCCTCTTGAGTTTCCTGAATACACTGTCATGCCGAGTGATACCTGTATCTCATACAGACAGTCAGATGCACAATTGACAGTGAAAGCAGAAAGCGTTATTCAGTCAGTGATTAGTCTCTCGAACAGCTGAAGAAAGTGGTAGATGTGGTACTGTATGTTTTCTTCTGGATTGCTTTCACTGATGCCATTTTTGTGACCCTAATGTTTAGCTCTATTCATCAGCTGCATATTCAAACAAAATGATGAAAATAACAAAATACAGCTGACAAAATCTTGAGGCATAAGATTTTTTTTTTTAAATATACTGTACCATCAACATGATGTGATGTGCTTGCAGACATCGGGTTAAAGCAGAGGATATATGTACATATTGTCTTTGAACACATATCGTACATATCGTGAACCCCATCAGGAAAATGGAAAGTCAACAGGGTCCGACAGATGGACAGATGGGAAATGGATGGGAAAAGGTCAGATGGATGTTTGATGGCTACTTACAAACAGACAACATGGAGGAAAAACCAAGAATGTTAGCGTCGTGAAGGCCGTCTTGGAAAAAAAAAAGGAGGAGGGATCGGGGGGGAAAAAACATAAAGACGAATGTTAATGATTGAAAGAGAGGAAGGGTCAGAGAAGAAATATCCAAAATGAGATAAAGGAAAATGCTCAGTCCACAGAGGAAGATTGTATAGAAGAGAGAGGAGATCTTTGTTCCTCACAGTCGCCTTTTAAATCACATCAGAAGACACAGGCTGTTTCTAATTCTTTTTTTGTCAAATAAATGTGTTCAAGCACATGTTCTCCAGAGCGACACTGACATTTAACAAGTTTTTTTTTTTCCAAAACACTGTGGAATTCAGTCACGTAATCTATTAATTAATAGATTTATATTGATCATTTTAAATAATGCACCTTTTTCCTTATTTTGCATCAGGATTAATAAATGATCTACCTATCCAGCCAACTGCCCATCCAGTTACCTATCCATCTACCCACCTATCTATCTATCCATCTTTTTTTCGAGTGATGAAAATCTGTTCTGGAAGAAAATGTGATTTTATAGATTTACCTATATATAAACTTTATTGTTTTTCAGTATAGACATCACTAGAAGAGATGGTATCAAGGACAGACAACATGAAACAAAGTGGGAAATGAGACAAATGAATGTTAATTGAAAAATTCTCACAGAAAAAAAGAATGATAAGGAGGATGAACAATTGTAACAAAAAGACAAACAGCGGGGATGAGCAGATAGCTGTGAAGAGATCGTAAGGCTGTGATCTGTGAAAAAGTATTTATTGTACTGTCAAAAAAACGACATAACTGATGTATAAATCTTGTGTGAATCAACCACGGCCGTGTGATGTCTGAAGCTGTGTGTGCCAAGTGACACCTGAGTTAAGTCACAAAAACACCAAGCAACCGCAGCAGCACCATCAACCTTCAGCCGCACTCAGATCCACACCCACAGCATCCAAATATCCACACGTCAACATGCACAGGCTCACAGCAGGTGAGACAACTACAGTATGTGTGACTATAAAGCACATCCAATACTTGTGAGGTTGACAACTTCAAGATTCACCTCGTCTATGATCGTAAAGAGCTCTACAGTGATTCTTTAAACATGTGCTGAGTTTTTGGGTCATCGGCTTGTCGGTCATCTCTATAGTTTAGTGATGAGTGATCTCAAAATGATCAACATATCCCAGCAGATTAGTCACATTAGTGCTCTACGTTAAAACTTCGGCAATGCTGTCTAGAAAATAAGAAATGGAAACTAGTTTATTTTAACAAAAAGAGATTTGATGCTCTATAGTTCTTTATTTTTTTTGATATCTTTGGGGGGAGATCTTCTTCTTTGGATTCTAGTGGTGAACTAATAATAATGGTGATTAGCACAGAGCACAAACATACTGGGAATGCACTCATTACTAAATGTGAAAATTGACCAATGAGCCAATCTCCCAAAAGCTGCATATTTTAGGTCACTCTCCACACCATGCTACAGAGCAGGTGGACACAGAGGCAGATTACAGTTGGAGGAAAGCTGGCGACGAGTCACGTGGTTGCAAAACGAGTGAGTCCTTTTGGTGGGTGTGGGAAGAGGTGGAGGAGGAGGGGAATGAGGCTGATGAGGTGGGAGGAAGGATGGGTTTTTGGGTGGTGGAAGTGGAGGAGGCTGGAGGATGAACACAGGGGAGGAAGGTGAGGAAGGGGATGAAAGAGGGGAATGAGGCAGAAGAGGCAGGGGGAAGGATGGGTTTTT